GGAGGCTTGTCAGTGAGGCCCTAAAGGGCCACAACCCAATGGAGAGGGGAGTTCAGGATGAGTGGTTGCTCCTCAAGGGAGCAATCCTGGATGCGCAAGCAAAGTCCATCCCATCTCGGAGGAAAGGCAGCAAAAGGGCACAGTAGCCCCCCTGGTTCTCCAGGGAACTGACGGACCTTCTTTGTCTTAAAAGGAAGACCTACAAAGGATGGAGGACTGGAACCACCACCAAGGAGGAATACTCTTCTCTGGTCCAACCTGCAGAGACCAAACCAGGAAAGCCAAGGCTGCGACAGAACTTCAACTAGCTACAAGTATCAAGGAAAACAAAAAGTCCTTTTTTAGGTATGTGGGGAGCCAGAGGAAAAGCAAGGGCAACATTGGACCCCTGCTAAACCGGATGGGACAACTGACAACCGATGCCCATGAAATAGCAAACTTGCTAAATGTGTACTTTGTGTCAGTTTTTCACCAGTCCCATGGGACGCTCCTGCCCACTGTGGGTCAGGGAGGCCCGGGTGAGGGAGATTCCTTGCCCTCCATTGAAGCTGACCTCGTGAAGGAACACCTTGACAGGCTGGATACCTTCAAGTCAGCCAGCCCTGAAGGTTTACACCCCAGGGTACTCAAGGAGCTGGCAAGCATCATAGCTCAGCCCTTGGCACGGATCTTCGAGAACTCCTGGCACTCTGGTGAAGTGCCCGAAGATTGGAAGAAGGCCAATGTGGTGCCTATCTTCAAGAAAGGGAGGGAAGTGGATCCGGCAAACTACAGGCCCATCAGCCTGACCTCTATCCTGGGGAAGGTCTTGGAAAAGATTATCAATGATGCCAGCGTTAACAGACTAGCTGACGGCAATATCCTGAGGGATAGCCAGCATGGGTTTGTTGCCGGTAGGTCTTGCTTGACCAATCTCATTTCCTTTTACAACCAGGTGACCTATCACCTGGACAAGGGGGAAGAGATTGATGTCATATATCTTGACTTTAAAAAAGCCTTCAATCTGGTATCCATGATCACCTCTTGGCAAAACCGGCCAACTGTGGCCTTGACCTCACCACAATCCACTGGCTGCGGAATTGGCTCCGCAGTAGGACCCAAAGGGTGGGGGTTGATGGAAGTCAATTGTCTTGGTGCGCTGTGATGTGGGGTCCCTCAAGGCTGTGTCCTAGGGCCTATACTTTTTAACATCTTCATCAATGATGTGGACATTGGTGTCAGAAGCGGACTAGCTAAGTTCGCCAATGACACCAAACTCTGGGGTAAAGCATCCACACCTGAGGACAGGAGGGTGATCCAGGCAGACCTTGACAGGCTCAGGAAATGGGCGGACGAGAACCTGATCATGTTCAACACCGAAAAATGCAAGGTTCTCCACCTTGGGAGGAAAAACCTGCAGCATCTCAATGATAACTCTGAAATTACCTCAGCCAGTTCCTTGAGTACTTTAGGATGCATCTTGTCCAGCCTGGCTGACTTCAGAACATCCAGCTTCTTCTAAGTAATCCCTATCCTGTTCTTTCACTCTCAAGGCTGCTTATCTTTTCCCCTGTCCTTGCTGCTAACTGCACTTACCATCTGATAGCTGAAGGCATTGAATACTTCAGACTCCTACATCAATAGATATAGAATACAGATATACACACACGTGCAAATACACACACACACACACGAATACCAGTCAATTCTCCTCCAGCCAATGACAGCAGCACACTACACCCCATCACACACAGCACAAGTCAGGATGGCGCCAGCAGGGAGGGCGCATGTAGAATAAGAGGCACAGGGACAATGAGGGTCTGTATTTATCTGATATGATCTGATGAGAGGACATTGCAATACAAAACCAGAAACAATACATACATACATACATATATATATATATATTATATACATACACATTTATACGTGTGTAAGGAGATTAAATAAAAATTTAAGACAACGTCCCATTGCTCTGTCCTACCCATCAAGTTTGCTTGCCCTCCGGAGGTCTCTGCTCTCCGCACTGCCAAGTCTTTTAATACTTTTTTGCAAGTTCCACAAAGAATCCTGTGGGGGGGCTCGCTTCCAGTCCAGCCCCCGCACGTGGCCTGTCCCACCCAGAGGGCCTGTTCAGAGAATGCAGCTGGTCCCTGGCAGGCTCACCAGAGACCTGGATCCCACATCCAGTCACTGTCGGAGACACAGCATTTCGGGGCATCAGGAAACAAATGGAGGCAGAAGGAGAGGGGGTGCTGCTGCCATATCCCCAGGGGAGAGGGCATCAGTTGGCCCTGTAAAACCTTTTTTAAGTGGGCAGGTTTGTGGGGAGAGAATGGACTGCCCCCCTCAAAATATCCAGCTTACAAAGGAGGGGGGAAAAGTTATCCCAGCCACATATAAATACTGCTATTTTTTTATTATTTACACTTTAAAAGCAATATTTTGGCTTTTAAAAAATCAATTCTGGGGGGGAGGGTTGTTGTCACTTAAAAAAAATACTGTCTGGCCTTTCTGTGAGTGGTGGGGTCACCTGGGTCACCTCTCCCGCATGCCAGGGTATAATACTGTCAGGCAGGTGCCCAGTGAAGGAGGTGCTGTTGGCTCCCAAGGGTGTGACTCCATCTGCGGAGGGATACACCAGGGGACTAGAGATAAGGATATGGTTCCCAGCTGGCAGCACCCTGCCTCCCATGATAACAGTCAGCAGGGAGAGTAGGATGTGGACCCTGGCTCTTGGGGGCAAGGAAAGGCAGGCCAAAGGGCCCCACTTTCAACAAGGGGCCATGGGAATTCTTTCTCCATCTTCAGGTGATCTCAGGGCCCCAGTGCAAATGAGATTCCTTTCCTTAGAGGAAGGGAGGGCAGGATCAGCCAGCCTGCAAGGAAGGAGGACTTTCAGTTTAAAGCAACACTGCTTAGTAATTTTGATGCCTGTTAAAGCTTTGCTGGCACCTTTGTTTTAAACAAAACCTGCCTCCAAATGGCCAAAGTGAAAATAAAGCACCATCATCACCGGGGGCAGGAGCTAAGCAGGTGATCCAGCTGACCTAAACACAGAGTATCAAGGGGAGCCATGATTCTGGGCTCCATCCTGGTCCTGCATGCTGTCACCCCTGGGGCAGCCCATGTCAGTGGCAGCACCAACAGCCTGGGCTGTAGCTTGCCCCTGGGAGAGGAGAAGGAGGCCCTGGGTGGAAGCTGGGTACTGAGGACAGGCCCAAACCCAGGAGCTGCCCTTGGAGCAGAGAGTGCACAGCTGGGCTTGAGCAGCACCTGGGTAGGGAGCTCTTGGCCCAGGCTGCATCAAAGCACTACTCTGGGTTGCCAATGTTAGATGTCCACTTGGCTGCACCTGTGCGTGTGGGTGGCTGGGAAGGCAGGGAGGCCTGTATCCAGCACTTCAGGGAAAATTTGGGGAAAAAACAGGAAACCAAGAAAAGCAGATGGACACCAAGGCCTTTCCAACACGAGAAGACTGCAGCGTGACTAAGGTAGTGTGGTGACAAAGGTGGCACAGCGCAGCGCTTGGATGGGACACAGCCTCCTGCCCTATGCAGGGTGTGAGAGCACCAGATCTCCGTGAGGCTTTGCACCCATCAGTTCCCTGCGGCTGGTTCTGGGGTGCGGCCAACACCCCCTCCCAGCCAAAGCAGCACCAAGCAGCATCCCAGCCCCCCTGCCAAGGGCATGGCAGGAAGCTAGAAGCAGGCACAGCCCCACCCCCCCAACCCTCATGTTCCTGCTGTGTTCCTCTTCCAGCCTGCCCCAACATGGCTAAGTGCAGGGCAGCCTCTACAGCCAAGGCCCCTTCACACAATCCATGTAGCTCTGTCCATCCTGCTTGGGAGGGAAGGGCAATGCAGACAGGATGCACGCACCCTGGCGTGCTGTTCACCTGGAGGGTGTTGCCTGGATCCCCCTGCCCTGCTGCCTGGCAAAGATCTGCTTCAGCTCAGGCCTTGTGGTAGCATACTGAGATCATCCAATCTACCAGGGAGGCAGATCTGCACTGGAGAGGCCATGATTACAGTCCAGGCAGCCTTCCAAGGTGGGCAGGGGCAGGGGTCTCCCACCTGGCTCAGCCTCCACAGCACACCTGCAGCCTGCCTCCACTCTTGGCGCTGCCCAGTCAATGCCTTGAAACACACAGGTTTCCCACCACCAAACAAGACCCAGAGCATGACAGACTGCGCCAGGGTTAATAGCTCCAAGGAGAGGAGAGGAAAGAAATCAGCTTCCCTTCCCCACCCCGGCCCTCTCCACAGAGGCTCTACATGGAAAGAATCGGGGGCAGTTCTTGTCAGCCTGGTTCCAGTCACCCCCATGCCCCTTGACAGGCTGGCATGGGCCTAGGGGGTGCAATCACCTGGCTCAGTCCAGTCCTGATCCAGCAAGGCTGCTGCAAAGTCTCATCAGCAGAAGCAGGTAAGTGGGGGGAGGGGCAGTGTTGGCATTTGCCCTCCCTCCCCCTCCAGGATCCATCCATGAAGGGGAGCAGAAGCCCCCTCTCCAAGGCCCACCCATGCAGTGTCATTCAGGACCCAGCTGGACAATGCCAGAGCCCCTCCCTGCACCTTCGATCACTGTCCTTCCAAAGGGCTGGGAGGAGGAAGGGAGGATTCTTCGTCAACCAGCAGTGGTTTCCATGTCGTCTCTCTTCCCTTCCCCATTGTGGGCGATGGAGGGGAGCTGGGGTGTGGGGAGACGGGACAGGGAAAAAGGGAAGGGTCGGTGCGGGGAAGGAAAAAAACGTCAATTGCTTCAAGTCCTGGGCGGGTTTAAGTCGGGTTGGAATTTTTCAGGGTCTGCAGCTTCTCCTCCAGTTCAGAGATCTGGAAATGGGCAGAGGGGCGATGTTATAGGCAAAGAAATGGGGAGTAGAGGAGGATCTCAAGGGCCTTGAAGGGGTGAGGCTAGGAGCCAGGTGGGAAGCGGCTGCTGCAGGGAGATGTGGGGAGAGAGAGGCAGGGGGTGGGTGGGTTGCACAGAGGAATGCAGGAGGCACTGCCGGGAGGGTCTGATGCCAGGGTAGAGGGAGCCATGTGGAAGCCATGCGGTGCTTTATGCCACACATCAAGAGGGTGCTGGGAAAAGTTGGGGGGTACTGGGAAGGGGTGGGACTGGGGGTACAGTGCAGGGAATGAGTCCTGCATGCAGGTGCTGTTCTGAAAATGCCCTGGCCCGAGCCCGGGGGATGTGTGTCTGGATGGGCCCCTCCAGCAGCTAATGGGCAGCAAGGGGCACAGATGCCAGCTGGGAGGGGAGGATGCCTTGGCACATTCCCTCCTGAACCAGGCTTGATTTGCCCAGGAGCCCAGCAGAGACAGTCAAACTGCTCCCTGCCCCTCACCAAGGCGAGGCAAGAGGTTCATGCCCAGTGGGGGACACAAGTGGAGTTTGCTTGCCTGCACCCATGCTAGTCAGCAGGGGGCACCTGCCTGCAGGCAGCAGAATGGGTACCCAGTGCCTTCTGGTTCACTCACTCCCTGAGGAGGAGAACCATCATAGGGTGCCTGGGGACAAGAGGTCACTCTCTGTCCCCACCAACCCACCATGGAAGGGGGGCTCCCCAACCCACCCTCTTCAGTAGGAAGCCCCTCATCCCTGTCCAGGTACCCACTGATCATGCACTAAGATATAACCTGGGATTCAGGATCTGGTAGGGCTCGGAACCCAGCATGACCTGGCATGACCCAGGATTAGGCATGTGGGTCCCATTAGGAGTGCTCCCATAGGAGAGCTGATATGACCTCCTGCCCATCACCAGCAAAGGCCACCAATCCAAAAATGAGGTGGAGAATGCCATGTGTGGTGGCAGTTCAGAGTGAAGTCTGCATGGGTGGTACAATAAGCCAGCCTGTAAGCCAGGTCCAGAGCCACTCAGTCAGAGCAGGGGCCCTTCTCCCCTCTTCCCACTGTGGTCTTAAGGGAACTCCACGCCCTGGTCCCCGGTGCCCACCTTCTCCTGGAGCTTGTCAATCTCCTCCTTGTGAGCCAGCTCCGACTCCTCCAGGATGCGTCGCTGGGCTGTCTCCTTCTTGAGGAACTCGATCTCCCTGCAGGGTAGGGGTGGGAACAGGAGTGGGGTCAGATGCCAGTGGCAGGGAAAAGCCTTCCAGTGCATAACCGGGAGGGCCAAACCAGTACAGAACTGTTTTACAGGAGGCTAGATCCAGTCACAGGGACTCTAGCCCTTGGCCCTGCTGTGTCAAGAGGAGAATCCACTCGCAGGCAAGAGTAGCAGGCTGTTATCCTCTCGCATGGAGCAGCCACTGGAGAGCCTAGATGACGAAGGCTGTGCTTGTATGTGTTCCACCCTTGTAGAAATGGGGTGAAGGGGAGGGCATGGTTACTGGAATGTCTAAACCACCTCTTTGGCATGGCAATCAGACCATTCTGGGCCAGGCAGAGCATCGAATAGCAAGGAGTGTCCAGCATCCGTACATCCAAGTTATCCCTACTGGGGTACCTTTATGTGAGGCTGAGCTTAGCCAGTCTCCTGGCTTCCTTGAGACAGAGACCAGAGCAGGCAGGTCCCAGACCCAGGAGATCTGGGAGCACTGATGCTGGGAGACCTATAGGCAAGGGGGATCAGAGACCCCTAGTCAGGGAAGTATAGGGATATGAGATCACAGGTATGGGTGATCCATAGTGGGTGGGAATCTGGTACTCCTAACCTAGTAGAGCCATAGAAGATAGGGACCTGAGACCTTAGTGTGGGAGATCCAAAGGATGAGACCATGGCCTTACTTCTGCTGGTACTCCTTGATGAGCCGCTTGGCCTTACTGTACTTGCGCTCCAGGGTCTGATACTGGGCCTGTGTCTCCTTGAGATGCTCATCCACAGCCTGGCACAGGTTCTGGGCCTCCATCCAATACCCCTCCAGCTTCTCCATCCGCTCCTTGTTCTCCTCCACACTCTGCTCCAGCTGTGCCTTCTCAGCACGCCAGCGAGCCTTCTCCTGCTCAATGGATTGCAGCTGGGGGCAGAGCAGAAACCACAGGGCTCAGGAGCCATGGCACATGAAGACCATGGCACAGATGTTATGTCTCAGCTCTGTGTTCTCGGGCAACCCTGGCACAGGATGCAGTCTGTCTGACTCACCCCCCCTCCCTCCCCTCCTCTACATAAATGAAACTGATTAAGATGCAGTGAGAGACACACCTAAGACCCTCCAGATAAGGATGACAAGAGTGAAACAACTGCCCTAGGTCTCATTTGCATCCGAGATGGAACCAGATGACCATTGATTTACATGAGAGATGGAGAACAGAAAGCCTGAAGCAGAGACTGCAGTGAATTCTGGGACCAGAGAAGCGGGGGAGCACTGCATGATGGGGAATCTGTGCTCCAAATGTTAATCAACCCATGTTCACACACACCCAGCTCAGCATTTATCAGACTAGTTCTAATCTGGATTTACTAAGGACTTTTCACCCCCCCCCAGACACACACACACAGCTCTAAGTTTAATAGGCATCTCAGGCTGTACATTCCCCGGTCCCACTATGGGAGGCCTATTTAAACTTGATTGACTAAAACTCGGTTCCCTAGTTAGGGAATGCTGAGGCAAGAGACCAAGTCAGAGGGGGTATG